TAAGACTCTGTGACATGCCACAGGCTAATTGGATAGATGGAAAGCAAGCATACAGATTTACAATTTAGGAAAACATTCCTTCAGGCCATAAAACCAGTAACTAGAGGTCATAAAGTAATGAATGATTTCTTATAGGTGTGAGGACAGAAGATACTATATTGATTGGGTTTGTCTATACAACACTTCAATGTTAACTTAGACATAAGAATTATAGACTCTCGATGACCCTGTAGAGCTAGTGACATATAATGAGTGTCTAGTTAGATAACTAATCTTAATGGAAACACATGTAAGCATCTCTGTCTTTACTTCTTATTCAATTTATAATTTGGATTTATATTTGAACTTGTTGTGAACTTTTGGAATACTATGTGATTTATTCTCCTGGAAAGATACAAAAAACTAGGAATGATGACATTAAGTAGGCAGAAAGAGAATAGGATAAAAGCATTTCAGAGATAAGGGGCTGGGCAGATGAGGAGAGGCAAGGAAGGAGAGAGCAGAATTAAATAGATGCAGAAGGAGAACAGAAAAGATGCAATGAGAGAGCAGATAGAAAGCTGGCGGGCTTCTTACTGACAAGAACAGGGCTTTCTCTTATAAATTTTGGTTTCTTTCATTTTAGCAATAGAAAGGTAGAAGCTTTTTTTTTCTCTATGCAATAAAGGTTGAAGCTTATTTTTCATCCAGAAGGAATGAATTCTTTCTGGGCTGGCGCTTGGGCTTTGCTCCATATTGCATATGTAAATATAGGTGTGTGTGTGTGTGTGTGTGTGTGTGTGTGTGTAAGAGGCAAGTAGCTGGGCCCAATAAGAGTGTATGAACATGTATGTATGAATGTATGTGTGTTTATGCCTATTTGCTTGTGTAAAAGTTTTTCCTTTTGTGAGTGTGACTCTCTTCCAATGGTTTAATAAAGATTTATTGCTCCAATCCTCCCTCTAGCCTGGCCAGTGAGAGGGAAGGCTTCCAGGCAAGAGAGAAAAGGAACACTAGCATTAATCCTTTACTTAACCATCCTTCCCCCCTGCACCCCCATCCCCTGGTGTTTATTCACCAGAAAACTGTAGCTTCTGGCCTGAGAGTAACTTAGACTCAAGAAAAGTAGACAGGTAAACGTTATATTATAAAAGCAATGTTAATCTCTCACAAGACCAACACTTGTCCCCTGCCAACCCTCTTCCGCCTTGGCTACCTCTCAGAGAGTATCCAGCCTGGGGCAAAGCTCCTGACACAAATTACAACATAGAAACACAAGAAACATTGTAAGTCAAGGCAACCCAAGTCTTGCAAAATTTACAAATTAATGGTATTGAAATGTTGGATAATTTCAAAGTTTACTTGTGAAAACAGATGGAGGATGGAGCAGAGACTGAGGGAATGGTCAACCAATAACCGGCCCAACTTGGGACCCAACCCATGGGCAAGCACCAGTCCATAACACTATTAATGATGCTCTGTTATGCTTGCCGACAGGAGCACATTGTCCTCTGAGAGGCTCCACCCAGCAGCTGACTCAGTTATAGACATCCGCAGCCAAACAGTGGATGGAGCTTGGGGATTCTTACAGAAGAATAGGAGGAAAGATTGTTGGTCTTGAAGAGTATGGGAATCAACAAATCTGTACCCTTGGGGCTCTCAAGAGTCTGAACCAACAACTAAAGAACACACACAGCCTGGACCTAGTCCTCTCCATTCATACGTAGCAGACATGCAGCATGACTTTCATGCGGGTCCTGGACAACTAGAGTGGGGGCTATTGCAAAATCTGTTGTCTGTATGTAGGATTTGTTCTTCTAGCTAGGCTGCCTTGTCTGGCCTCAGTGGGACAGGAAGCGCCTAACCTCCTTGAAGTGCCAGTGAGGCTATGCAGGGGGGCCCAATGCCCAGAGAGAAGGGCAGGGGATATAAGGGGAAGGATTGTGGGAGGGGGTGACTGGGAGTGAGGTAGTGAGTGAGATGAAAAGTAAAAAGAAAAATTAAATTAAAAAAGCCTAAAACTGAAAAAAATGACTTCAAATGGTACACTAACAAGCAGATGAATAAACTCAAGAAGTTCAGGACCTAGAAAAGAATTCAGCAGCAAAGAAGAAGTTAGCAACGCGGATGAGAAACATCAGCAAGGAATTCAGATTTTGATAAGAAAATAATACTAGAAATGAAAAAAAAACCCTAAATGAATCAAATTAAAAACATGCAGTAGAAAAAAAACTAATAAAATAGGTCAAGCAGAAGAAAGACTGTCAGGGACTGAGGACCAGGCTGAGGAAATATTACAACTGGACAGCAATGAAGTCATAGCAGGAGTCAGAGTGTGTGGCAAAGGACAGCTGCACGAGAAGAAAGTTCTGTCTCCAGTTTCCAGAACCCATGTGACGAAGCCAGATGCAGTGGTGTGCATCATTACCCCAGCACTCCCATAGGAAGACAGGGAAGGAGCTCCCTCAGCCCCCAACTCTCAGACACACACACACACGCACACACACACACACACACACACACAGATACACACAAACACATATACATATATAATAAAGCATCCATGTTATTAATAATTGGGATGAATAAGGCTTTAGTGTTATTTATAGAACACTGGGCTATGCAGCGTGTGTGCACATGCACATGCACACACCACACACACACACACACACACACACACACACACACACACACACACACAAAATCTTAATTTTAAATCTTTCCATCGTTATTTCTCACCAGAAAATAAATTGGCTGCGGTTGACAAGGAGCTCAGTGAAAACCTTCCAGCATCTGAAACGCAGAGCATAAAATCAGACACAGGCCACATTTTTCTTGTTTGCCTATGAGATTTTTCTAAGTTGTCATCGTATTCACAGGGGACACTGGCTGCTTTCTGAATTGTTTCCTTGCATCCAATCATATAATAGAATTTTAAAGAAGGTGAATTAATATACTAAGTTAGGTATTCTTCTAAATGATTATTTGGACCCAAAAGATACTTCTTTTGGTGACAGATAAACTTTTTCTGGGCACAAATCCCTGACTTTCTATTTCTAACCCATCTGACCGTCTTCTTAGACTTGCTGAGTGAAAACACCATGCCTTTTACTATGTGTTATATGTGAACACACCTCCAGACCCCCTTTTCCTTTTCACCCATCAGTATCTGACCTTTTCTACCAGCTACCACAGTAATGTCTATAGTTTCCCTATGATATTCAATGTAAGTTTAGTGGTACAAAAAACTATCAGTTTTTACTGAGATTAATAGAATATAAATTATATTAATATATAACAATAATTATATTACTCTATTATCTATCTATCTATCTATCTATCTATCTATCTATCTATCTATCTATCATCTATATTTTGAGACAGGGGCTCACTATGTAATCCTGGCTGGCCTCAAACTCACAGAGATCTGCCTGCCTCGGCTCCTAACTCCCATCCCCCAAGCTTGGGTTAAAGGTGTGTGTTACACACTTGGCAGAAGCTCTATTTTGGGCCTAGAGGATTATAACGAGTATTTCTTTCTTCCTAAGTATACTTGAATGAGAACACCCCCAGAGAGTCTACAAGAAGAACTCAGCAATTCTTCTTAAATGAAGTCATGGTAGTAAATAAAATACCATCAGTTTTCAAGTAGTTCTGTAGTTCTTTCATGTCTATTTCATCAGTATTGTAGTTCATGTTTTCCATGATGGTTTCTAGTTTACTTGTAAAGCCTTTTCCTCCTTGAGAAAGGAAGAGATGAAATAAGAAGAAAATGTAAAATTACACTTCATCATTTAAAATTCTACCTAGTTCCAGGGACTGGGTCATAAAGAAGGAAAGAAAGCAAGGCTGTGAATGTTTAAAGAAAGAATAAAAAGCAAGTGGCAGGGGATAGGTGGAGGGTAGGAAAGAACCATCCATATATATGTCACAAGACATGCTGCCAACATTTTTAGTAGATGCAAGGCGTAACAGGAGTGACTAAGGCTTGTTAGTTGTTCTTTATTTATTCATAGTAGAGATCTCAGAGACAACCATAATTGTGGTTGCCGGGTTTGAAACCTGTCAGATTATCTCCATAAATTTAAAATAAAAGACATAAAGAGGGATAAAAAGACTGATAGACGATAGAATGTGACACTACGGGTAAGAAACATTTCCACATTCAAGCTGTGAGACCGAGACAAGTAGATCAGTGTAACTTAGGTGGGAAATGGCCATAATAGAACTATCCCTGTAGTGTTAGTGTGAGACAGAGGAGAGGTGTGGAACAACCCTCAACAGAAACAAACTACTGTTACTTTTAAGTAATAAGTAGACTTTCCAGAAAGAAAGAAACTTGAAGACTTGTTTCACTTGACATTGTATTTGTTACTCACTGTGAAAAGTTTTTAAACTATCCAACAATCGGTTCCGATACACTTTATTATCAGCTGCAATAGAAGACATAACCAGTGTCACAGACCAAGCACTGGCACCCATAACATGACTGTGGACCACCACCATGAAGGCAGTAACCTTATAGACGTGGTGTATCCAGTCTGTTATCCACACAGCTTTCTTCAACTAGGCTTTATCAATAACGTGAAGAACTGGACGTTCTAAATGTCCCACTTTGCTAGGCCAATACTGATCTAACATGTTCCTGTTTGTCTTGCCTTCTCTCCTGTCCTCACTTTCTTTGTGCTTTAGGGTTGTCAGACATTACAGAAGTAATGTCTCAACTCAAAAACTTGTAATCATATCTTGATTCATGAATTAATTTCTTTCTTAAGAAGGTCTCAAATTTAGCCCCAATAGAGTAAGCCCCTACGTCAAATAGTCTCCATGGACGCAAAGACTAGTGACTTTAATCTTATCACTTAAGATGTCTTCAACATGTTGTATGCAGACTGATGTGTAACGTATACTCAGTGACTCCCAGCTAGCCCCACAGTGCACATGCTCAAGCCTACCCCACCCTTAGAAGCTGAGGTTGAATTGGAAATGCTCACAGGTAATCGGCAGAGTCTTCATCAGCTCCCAGCGTTCTTTAAGTGTGAGATCTACCCCTATGTCTTTCAAAACATGATCGATTTCATCGATATTCACTTTGTTTCCTTTGAAATAAACAGAAACAAGAGCAAAATGGTTATAAACTGTGTCCTCCACGTTTACCTGAAGGGTTGGATGATCAAAAGCCTGAGTCAAGAGTCTAAGAGAACATAAAAAAAAGACACACATTGCTCAATTCTAGACAGAAAAAAATATTTCGTAAGTTCTAATGAAATGCCTAAGTGATGTCATCTTGTTCTAGCTCCATTTTGTGTTTGCTTAGGCAGTTCTCAGCCCTCCACCCACCTCTCCAATGCTCACATCTGCTTTGGAAACACATTTGAGATTTCCAAGGCCTTGATCATGGTCCAGATGTATTAACAAAAATAATTTTAAAAACTAAAATAACTAGAAAAAATATAAGTGAAAAATAATTTACATGTTTTGTCTAACATAATTACCATGCTCTGCCAGGAATGATATTTTAAGGTTACTCTGACCTCATTTAACTTTGATATAAACTATGGTCTTTGTGGGTTTTGCCTTTAGAACTCTGCACCCCTGACTTGGCTACCAAGAGACTTTTCAGAAGCACAAGCCCACTTTTGGTCTGGCCAACAAAAACACAAAAGCAAAACTTGTAATTGGCTCTATCAGTGTGGTTGTCCGTGAGTATCTGCAGAAGATCATTGCATTCATTTCACTATGAACAACAGTATAAATCAATATTCTGACTTGGAGGTCATAGATCAACATGGCTATGGTATAAATGACTATATACGTATTTTTATAGATAAATAATGCCAATTTGGATGTTTTACTTACTCTTTGGTAACTAGATATGTGAATACAATGCACTCAGAACACATCCTACCTCAATTTCCAACTCAGATCCTCTACATACCCTGTCCAAATTCATGTTGTTTTCTTCTGTTTGTCGTTGTTGCTTGTTTTAATACCCCCTGTGTTGGATTACTGCTGCCCATACACACATGTATGCAGAGCACCATCTACTGGAGCTTGAGCAAGGACCACATCACTCAAGGGAATTGACTTTCCCTCTCAACAATTGGCTAACAACTGCCAATAGCTCTTCAGCTGGTGGGGGGTCTTATGAGCCCCATCCCTCTGCAAGCTACATGTTTTCTGTTTTTACAGTATATGGTATGATGAGGTGATCTATTCTTAAAGTGATTAGATTTTTAGGATAATATAGAATAAAAAGATTCATTCCTTAAAATAAGACAGTGCATTGTTTTCCCAGTGATCATCATAGTTATCTGGGTTTATTTTAGCCCTGTGAGCAGTGCAACTAATTTAAATCGTTGAGAAAGAAAACACAGGGAAATCCAGGATACTACAACAATAGAAAAATGTAACAGTTTTGCCAAAAACTAATTTGGACTCCTGGATAAAATGTTTTTATTTTCTATTACAATTCATTCATTCATTCATTCATTCATTCATTTATTATGTTGTGGGCATCCTCATGGAAGTCAGAAGACAATTTGCAGGAGTAAGTTCTCTCCAATATCTGGGTCTCTTGGACCAAACTTATGCCATCATGCTTGGTACCAAGTGTCTCTACCTATTGAGCCACCTCACAGGGATGTATAAAATATATTATTGATATATCAGTAAGGCTAACAAGCTAACATACTAAATGAAGCCCCTGTAATAGGGCTTGGATATTGAAAAGTGTGAAGTGTAAACTTCATCAGGATATTGCAACTAAAAGTCGTTTCTGCTTCGTGGCCTTTCACTGACCTGTGAGTGACTCCACGTTCTCCATTATCTGGCTCATCTTGACCAACCCATCTGCGAAGACAAAATGCGCATAAGATCCAGGCTCGGTGACTCACACCCAGAAACACAAGACCTTACAGCGTGAGGTAAAACATTGAAATTCAAAGGTTCACCCAGATTTTTTCTGCTAATACACTAATCTTTCCCAGATGAACATGGAATTGAAAACTGAAGGTCTGGATGTGATAAATGAATATAGTGCAGGAGGAAAAATTGCAGGATGTATCATGTCTATGCATACCGATGTTAGGAAATTTAAAAAGCCTCGTTTAATCTTTCACTTGGCCAGTTCCATTTTAGAATCCAAGAGCAGTCTGTTTGATCATTTTAGTATGACAGATTTAAAACAGTCATATTGTGTGCCAGGAGGTTCTAGTGCATACCTTTAATCCTAGCACTTGGTAGGCAGAGCCAGGTAGATCTCTGAGTTTGAGGCTAGCCTGGTCTACAGAGCAAGTTCTAGACCGGCTAGGGCTACACAGAGAAACCCTGTGTCAGGAAAAACAAACTCTGCAATATTCTGGCCAACCATCTGTCTGCACAGAGTAGGAGCCATACATACAAGGTTATTTGCTCTAGATTAGCTTGTGGCTTGTATGTGCTGGCAACTCACCTCCCTTCTAATCAGGTCTAAATGAAAAAGACTTTGATTTAAAATTAAAGTAAGGTTACTCCTGGAGTCAGACTCAGTCTAGGATTTGGTACCATGGGAAAGCAGTAAACTTTGTAAACAGTGTTAAATAGGTTTAGCCTAAATATATGGAAAAAAAAATAAACCCACCAAAAAAAACCCCTGGGCTTTGCTAACCATCAAGGAAATGTAAATCCAATTACAATGAGGTGTCACCTAACTGGAGTCAGGATGGCTGTTACTAAAGGGACAAACCCATCAATGTTGCTGAGGGTGTGAGAAAGAACAGCTCTTACACACTGTTGGTGAGAGTAGCTTTAGTACAGCCATTAGGGAAAGCAACATGGACGACCCTCGAAAACCAACAGCTAGACCAACAATCCCACAACTCGGTAGAGTCAAAGGAAGGGACTGAGGACTGAAGAGAGGTCTGGGCTAATTAACAAATGTGTCACCTCACACAGGTGATGTTCAGCACAACGCTGCTCAGAACAGATAAGAGACAGCAGTGGAGAGTCCCCTGATGAACTGGAGGGCTTTACATGAAGTGAGTCAGAGACAGACACTGTTCGCTCTCACTGTAGACTGTGAAAACATTGACCCCCAGAAGCTGGAAGTGGGATACTAGTGAGAGGATGAATAACTGTGGTTCAAGTCAGTGTCAAGAAGCCAACTGCACAGCAAGTGACACAGCAAGTGACATCTGTTTTGTTTTTGTTTTTTTGTTTTTGTTTTTTGAGACAGGGTTTTTCTGTGTAGGCTTGGCTGTGGCTGGCCTCAAATTTACAAAGATCCACCTGCCTCTGCCTCCTGAGTGCTGGGATTAAAGCCTTGCATCAGCATGCTCAGATTTTTTTTTTTTGAGTTCCTTAAAAGCGTAAATAAGCATACTGTTTGCTATCATCAGGAAAATGATAATTAACTGTGTGAGGTGATGTATTTGTTAATTAGCTAGATTTAAGTATTTTAAATCATCATGTTACATAGGATATATACACATCACTATCCACCAAAAAAAAAAAAAAAATCTAGGATGATTAGCCATGTTTTCTTTTCTGAGCCTCCTGGTGGTTTGATGGATTTAATTTCTCCCCCCTGAAGGCCAGAAGGGAGAGTAAGATCCCTGGAGCTGGAGTGTCTGCTGGCAATCATGAGCTATCCAACATGGGTGTTGGGAACCAAACATATGTCCTCTGGAACAGTGGTGGGCTCTCTTAAGCCTCAATTCTTAGTTCTTGCTCCTGTTGAAACGATCCTTTGTTTCTTTTCTCTGGCATAGGTCATTAAATATTCTCAGTGGCATTAGGGTTTATAACTAGAACCCTTTGTTCGACAGATGAGTCCTTTCTGACAGAAGCATCACAATCAGGGATAACAGGTTTTCCCACGAGCATATCTGGAAGTTTGTCAGCGGAGCCGAGAGGCTCTATGAAGACACAATGACACTCTCACCTTCAACTACCAGACGGTTTGTCAGGTCTTCGATTTCTTCATCCTCCAGATCAAAGCCCATGTCTTCTAGAATGTCACCCAGTTTGGAGACATGACACTTCGCCCCTTAGGAAAGAAGGAGCCAGAGGCTAAGTTATCACAGACGGAAGCAATCCACTGTATAATGACAGACAAACGGCTCCCAGGACTGCAGAGAAACTGTGGAAGCTGGACATGCAGTGCATTTTGCCAGTCCTGCTCCAGAAGGGCCTTTCTCTAGTGTGTGAGAAGTATATTTTGAAGTTAATGATATTTCAGATGAGTTATATGAGTTTTTACTTATTTTTGATTATGTGTACTGATTCTATATACTATAAACTGTATTTTTTTAAAAGAACTGATGAGCTATATCAGACAACTAGCACTCTTGATCAGCAAACAGAACTTGAAACATTTTCATTGTCAGATAATTATATACTATTTTAGTTGTAGTTGCATCGAAAAGGTCTTTAAACTTAAAGAAAATAAAACAAATCACCTAATTGTTGTGTAGTGACATGATTTTTTTTAAAGTTAAGGTAAAGACTACAGATTATAGTTTGAATTGCCTTATTGAGATTATCACTCACCAGAATGCCACTTTACATGATCAAGTAATATGCTTTTAAGTATTTTCCCATCGTCTGTAAAATAAGACACACTTATAATTAGAGAAAAACGATGTAGATAGTAACAGAGGTACATGAACGTGTAACTTTAAGTGCAGATTATAAAGATTTACCTTTAAATGTATGCTTCTGCACTTTCTATGTCTACACACACTTCTTTACAAAGTGTGCAAAATAAGAAAAATATGTTTTTTAATGACTTTTGTCTCTCTGGGGACTGGACCTGGGCTTATGCTGATCTAAGCGCCAAGTTCCTTTTGTCCTCCTCTTTTTCCTCCTCCTCCATCTTCTTCAAGTGGTGCTAAGGACTAAACTCAAGGATTTGTACATCTGAGCAAGTGTCCTGCCACTGAGACTTCCCCAGCCCTGGACAAAATTCTGAATATGCAGCTGACAGACATTTTTCCTCACGCTCAGCTTCCCCTTTCTTTCTCCTTGTTACTCTTAGTTCATTTTTTTCTCTTTGTTCTACTTAAGTTTTATTTATCTTAAGGTAATGGCACTATTTTAAAAATATTTGTTTATTTGTGTATGTGTGGGTGTGTACTCACACGTGTCTGTGTGTGCATGTGTCTGTGTGTGCACATGTGTACATGTATGTATGTGTGAGTCTGTATGTGCATGTGTTCATGTGTGTGCATGTGTGCATGTGTGTGCATGTGTGCATGTGTGCGTGTGTGTGTGTGTGTGCATGTGTGCATGGTTAGATGGTGGTCACAGTGTGTGTGTAGGTTGGAGTAGAACCTTGGATGTCAACCATCTATTTTTCTTAAGACAGGGTCTGTCTTGTTTGCTGTTGCACTGTTATACCAGGCTAGCTGGTCTAGAAACTCTTGGGAAATCTCCCATCTCATTGTAGAAGGATCAAGACTACAGACCCAAGCACTGCAACTTTGACCTCTCTTCCAGAGATGTGAACTAAGATCATCAGTCTTGGACAGCAAGTGCTTTTACCCACTGAGCTATCCTCCAAAGCCCACTTTTAATGCCAAGATTCAGTTTAAAGATGCTAGCAGGGATACAAATTCAAATGCCAAAGACACTTGCTTTCCCAATTACGGCTTGATATCTTTGCTTTCCAGGTGTTGTAGGGCAGAAGAGGGGCTAGGTTTTATGATGTTCTCAAACTGAAGTTTATACAACACGAAGATACATTCTATAGGGTTCATAAGTACCTACCAGCAACAGGCAACTTTTTCAGCAGGTCGTTGACTTCCTTATTTGAAAGCTCTATGCCCATGCCGTTGAGCACTCTTTGTGTGACTTTAGCATCAATCTTTCCTCCTTTGGAGAAAAAAAAAAAAAGAAATTGTAAAAGTGAGAATTGCTTGCTGATTTTGTCTGACAAAACTAAGTTTGTACAGAACACATGGAAATGTGTTGAAATTTGTAGAAACTATGCATTTGTAATGGTGTAAATGACCTCAGAACTCACACTGTCACAGGTATGTCTTAACATTTTCTGAGTTAGAGCAATTGCAAAATATTTTGAATGAATGATGATCGGTGTTGACTGTGCTATCTTGGTGAAATGCAGCATAAAATAAAAGAGAGCTTTCAGAATAAGTGTAGAACTCATTACACATACATATCATCACAAAATTTTGCCAAAAATAAAATAAATGCATATAATTTTCATACCAGTTAAAAGTTTTGAAGCCAATGACAAAAAACTTTAAGTGTGTTCATGTAATATATATATTTCATATATATATATATATATATATATATTTTGTAATATATATATATATATATATTGCACACATACATATGTATGTATTGTCACAGGATCCTTCTATTTAGCCTTGGCTAGTCTGGAACGCCCTACTGGAGAAGAGGTTGGCCTTGAACTCCTGTATTCCTCCTGAATGCTGGGATCACTGGGGCAAACTCTTTTACTATGCAGCCCTGGCTGGCCTGGTACTCATTAAGTATCCAGATTGGCTTTGCAGCAAGTCTTCTGCCTCAGCCTCCTGAATGCTGAAATTACAAGCATGTACTACATGCCAGCTGAGAGAATTCAATTTAAAAAATGTATGTAAATGTGAAGCTTTTGCTTAACATGTTTTGCTTACCAGTGAATTTTCTTACTTCTTTCAGCATTTTCTGCAGATCAGTCATCCCAGAAGCTGTAAAAGGCCACAATTTACATTATATATAGCTATGCACTGATGCAGAGATTGATGGGACTTTAACTAGGACTTTTTCTTATGATATTTTAAAAATCACAGCATAACGGCATACACAGTTGAACATGAAATGAGGAAAATTACTCTTGAAGTATGTTGCCAGTTAATATCATCATCTGCTCTCTCTTTTCGTTTTTCAAGATTTCCATCTTAGGCTGGCAAGACTATTACCTTACTCAGTAGATAAAAGCACTTGCAGTCAAGCCTGATGACTCGAATTCAATTCCTGGGACACACATGGTGGAGGACAGAACAGATTCAAAAAATTGTCCTCGGATCTACACACTTATCATAGCACACACTGCCCAACACACACACACACGCACACAGCTAAAAGAAAAAGCAAAAGAGAGCTTACTCTGTGTATTATGTGCCTCTTTCTTTTCAGGCTTGGTCTTTTTAGTTTATACTATTTACTATGAGGTCCTCAAATCAGTGCAACTTGTTAGAAGTGAAGACATAGCATATTTAGATTTTATTTTTCAAAAAAACATGTGTATAAGTGCTTTGCCTATATGCATGTCTGTGCATTATATGTGTGAAAGACTCACAAAGCCCATAAGAGAACATCAGATCCTTTGCAACTGGAGTTGCAGATGGTTGTAAGGAACCAAGTGGTGCTGGGAATCAAACCTTGGTCCTCTGCAAGAGCAGCATGTGGTCTTAACCGCCGAGCCATCATTCCAGCCCAAAGATGTAGGATATTTCAGGACAAGAAAAAAAAACTAGAAACTAAGCTCGCTATTGGTATTTCTTACAATAAAGAACATGGCATTAGTGTGTGATCCTCTTCTTCCTTAGGGTGTTATTTCTATTACAAATACCTCAGACAGTCAACATAGCAGATTGATGTTTTGACAACTGTTACTGCTTACAGAATGTATATATGTTATACTTCTGTGGATCATAGGAAGAAAACATGGACAAGAGTGAAGAGAAATCAAGGCCAACCAACATAGAGTCTGTCTCTCTCTAATCAGTGTGATAAAAGGAAATAAAACCCTACAAAATTATACAACTGTAAAATAATTATGATGATTTTCTATATCTGATAAAGGATTTCAATTGTCAGATTAAAAATGCCCAATGAATTCTAAGATGGAAAAGTGAAAAAAATTCCAGATATTCCAATTGTCTATATTATAGTGAAGCTTCAGAACTGTGTCCTAAAAGCAATAATAGCAAGACAATAATTCTTCAAGAATCAGTGAGGTTTATAACTGACTTCCTATCACGTCTAGCATCATAAGAAAGCTTGATGGTAGGATGATATTATAATCACACTGAAACAGAATGACTAACTAGAATTCTATGCTCAGAGAACATATCTACTTGATCTCTCTCTCTCTCCTCTCTCTCTCTCTCTCTCTCTCTCTCTCTCTCTCTCTCTCTCTCTCTCTCTCTCTCTGTGTGTGTGTGTGTGTGTTTGTGTGTGTGTGTGTGTGTTTTTCTACTTGGACAGGCTCTCAATATATAGCTTAGAGTAGTCTTAAACTTGCAATCCTCCTGCCTCAGCCTTTTGAGTGGTAGGATTACAAGTACATGCGCATATACCACATACTTAACTGACTAAATGTATTTTTCAATGATATTTGTTTTTGGCAGAGGTGGGAGAAAGAAAAGAAGTCTCAAAGGAAAAGTTGGAGAAGCAAGAAAGAACAAAAAGCTAAGAATATGTGTACAGTTGAATAAATATGAGTGAATATCAGCGTTATAAAATATTATACTACTATATGCTTAAATTTGATTGTAAACTTGCTGGGAATGTAAAATCACCATGGAAACAAATCTCTAAGCACATGTATAAGGATTATCTATCTTAGGTTAAGGTGGGAAGACGCACCCTAAATGTGTGTTGCATCCTTCCCTTGCCTGGTGTCCTGGACAGAATGACAAGAAGGGAGGTGAGTGCAGGCACTCATTGCTCTCTCCTTTCTGACTGTGGATGTGACCTTCAGCTCCTGCCAGCATACCTCCCTGCCACAAAGGACCACATCACCTAAAAGGCAAGCTCAAAGTCCCTCCTTCCTAAGTTGCTTTTGTCAGATATTCAGCACAGCAATGAGATACATAACTAAAATGACTACTGATATTTTTCTAAATTAAACTAAAACAGTACAGAACTAAAGAGATAACATTAATATGGCTGGGGGTAGTGGTACACAACTTTAATCCCAGCAGAGGCATGCAGATCTCAGAGTTCAAGGCCAGCCTGGTCTA